TAGTGCCTGACCGTTTCTGTGGAAACGCCGATGTTCAGTGGGCAGATTCGTAGGTCTTGTTGCGAGACTTGTTCGGCCATTGATGTCCACCGGTTTCGCGAGATTCTGATGTTGAGAACGCTCGATCATTATCTTCTTGCAAATGTCACGAAGCGTGTTTGCAATTGTGCGCGCCGGTATGTCGCAACGAAAGACATGACACATGTGTTTCCTGGTCGATCGATCTCTTGCTACGTAAGCAAAGTCCCTGAAAGCAATACGCATTTAAGAATCGACAGATTGAGAATTTTTCTTCTAATTTTACTTTGTATTTCATTTTATGCGATAATTCGTTGTATTATATCTTACCTTTCGCTATTAGATCCGTCCAAAAAAGAGCAGACATTTATGAAAACAATGTAAATAATTAATAGAATAAATATATTTAATATTTATTGTATAAAATTCTATATTTTAAAAGTTGTAATGTTTCGACAAAAAATTCAGTGCCTTCATTTATTTAAACATAATTAATAATTTACTCACCGACAGTGGTCTCTTCCTACGCCCCAAACTCTAACTGTATGAATAGGCTGAGTGTTAAGTACAGTGAGATTCTCCGGATCGATCAGTTTGAGCGCGCCCTCGTCCAAGTCCATAAATAGATCCTTGCCCTGAAATATTTTGTAACATATCTCTCATCGCGTGCTTATACCGTAGTAAAATCGAAATCAGTATATCGCTAACTACTACTAAGGAATAAAAAGTTCTAAATATGCTTTTTTACAAATCATATCGCTCAGTTTGAATCTTATCATTTGTTTAGTACATTGAGACATTATATTTTCATTTCGTACATTTATAAATTCATGATTAATAATGCATTTAACCTACTTAGTTTGTGAAGGAACTTACATCACCCCATCGTCCGACGACATCCAAAAGATCGTTTCTACCGAGTGAAAGATCTACGATGCACTTATTGACAGCCTTGCTGCTTCTCTCGGGTGTCAGATCTTCTTCCGCGATCTCCGTCCAACCCAAGGATCGCACAGCAAATCTGATTGGCTTGTCCCTACCCTCGGAGTCCGCTCTGGCAGGATAGCTTCTTCGTCTGAGAAAATAAAGAAAAAAATAAAGATGAATCGATGGTAATCATAAAAAAATTGTAAATCAATTGAGATTTGCTTACTTGAGCGCTAATTCCACCTTCCTCTTGTTCTCTAATTCCTGATCCAGAGCCGAGCTTGTGTTGCTGCGAGTCACTGTGTTCACCATACCGCTTAAAGTGTGAAAATTGTTTATCTGCAACGATAATTTGCAAACAAAAATTATGATATCGAATGGAAAGCTTTGAACTAATGTTATATAATCTTAATCAATAGTGCATGTACTAATATAATTTACGTTGTATAATAATTTATTTAGACAATAATTTACGTTGTTATCTTATAATAATAAATTATAACATGTTTTGACAAATTATTTACTTACGCTATCATTATCCTTAACGAGGCTTCGGCGTGCCTCCGTTTTCGAATGCAGAGGAGCCTCTGGCGGTTCTCTCTGTATATTTCCGCTTTTCACATGCCAATAATAAGGTCCATTCTCATCTAAAATAGCATTAGATCCGATCGTTAATAAAATTCGAAAGCCAAAATTTATAATAGTCGCGATAACTTTAATTATCGGTCAATTTTGTCAATATACTTTCATAAATAAAAAAAAGATAAGAAAATTGAGAAAATAAAAACCTGATATTATATATCTTTGCTTAAATAATATTTTTAACTTATTTTTTTTTGTATATATTATGTTATCTCTTTACTTTAGCAATTTCTTTTCTATCAATATTATCTAAATCCTTGCCACGTTTCCGGAAACATGAGGTACGAAAATAGTACTCATTACTATTGTGAATCAATAATCGTACAGCATTTAGCGTTAAATACGAGTTTTTTCCAGCATCAATATCTCGATTGTCCGGAACTTTTTGAGAAAATGCTTGACTTTCGAAAACAATTTTTTAGAATCTAGAAAAGTTTTATCTCTACATTAACATTTCCTTCCATTTCTACGTCAATTAGTTTTTATCTCAATGTAAAATTAATAGATTTGACACAATTTCTCAAGATGATAAATTCCTAATGCATTACAAAAATTATTGCAGTTAAAACTATAGGAAAAACGCAAGATAGTAAAACAATAGGAAGTAGTAAGCAAATCGACTAATCACAGCAGAGAATAAGGCAGTAATAAGAGCAAATCCAAAATGTAACAAATCCCAAATGTTGATTTGCCAAAGTTTTTTTGTGTGTCATAGTACAAGAAATGATTGAAGCAATTGTCTGATTATTTGAAACAAGTTCTTTTTTATATCTATTTGACGCAATTCTACTCCAATATCTACCTTCGTGTTTCTGCCAACCCGGCGGCAAATTCTCGTCCTTATCCTCGGAATCGGTACTGTCCATGTCTGTCGGTTTCTCCTGGGTATTGTTCTGCAGAATCGCATTGTTCTTCTGGTCCTTTGGCTGTCGTCGTTTCACTGGCACTGCGTATAGCTCGCTATTCAGGCCACCCTCCACATGCGGCACGCCGCCCATCTCTGCGGTCTCGTTGTCGGGTTTCTCGCAATAACTGTAGTGCAAAGCCAAGAAAAATCAGGGTCAAGAAACCTCAGTTTCAGTTCACCTCGTAATTCGGTTCAGTCGCGCTATCGCTGCAACGTCCATTGAATAGTCAAGCAATATAAGTCTTGATCCAAAAGACGTCTTAGTGTAAAAGTCTTGAGAATTCAGACGTCTTTAAAGTCTTACACAAAATGAAAAAAGATAATAGAAACAGGAAACAGGAACAATTTCCAACCTATCAGAAACCATGTACTGTGCACTACATATTTTCTGAGAGATTGAAATAATTGATCATAGCTATTCCGCTGAAGACTGTGATTGATCAGTTTCATACAGATATTATTAAATTCGATTAAGGGCCATGTAAAACGTAGACTGTTATTCCTTATTTCTATTGCCTGTTTTATGATATCTAAGACTTTAGAGAATCTTTGCGTCGTCTGGCTTTTTAAACAAGCATACTCATAATTTTTCGTATCATACAATCACAAGCAATAAAAAATACTAGCACAAGAGATACATTTTCCCTAGAGCCATAAATATACATTTATAAACATATTTTAACTTCTTGCGTTTTTTTACGTGCATTTGCGATACAAAAAAGAAAAATAAAGAATCAAGGCTAGCATCAATAAAAATTGATACAACTGTTTATAAGAACCGCAACGAAAATAAAGAGTTATAAATCTTATTTGTTCAACAAGGAAACTAACGATATAACATACAGTGCAAGCTTCAAATTCCATCATAGCGGTATGCAGATTCGAAGAAACGTCCAGTTATTTTTATCGGTTTGCTTTGAATCCAAAAATTTCATTTAACGACGATTACTATTCCTGGCTTGACTGCGTTTGATTTGTTTAAATTCATCTCATAAGGTGGTCACGCGATATTCTGAACTGAAGTTCTCTCTGGTCTTTCACTCTCTTCCCCTCGTCATATATCGCGGAACTTCATGAAGCGAGATTGTGGTCGCGTTCGCGTGACTTCGAGGAATTCCAGTTCACGACATTTCGTGGCGAATCACGATCACCGAAATAAGCAGTTTGCGTCGTTGTCCGGCTGTGTACGTTCTCGCGGAACCGTTCGGTTGTTAAGTATTCGCGAGATCGCGTCATCGACCATGGTACGGTAGAATGACAAATTGATTTCCGCTTGTTAAGTCGTCTGATCGGCTGTGCCGTGTCGCTCGTAAACCGCGCTATCGATTCATCGCAAAAGAGTCCCCGTTATCGCTCTACCATGAGAAATCCTCGCGTGCTAATCGAAGTCAACTGCGACACGAGTCGGCCGCGGGAGATTATTTACGGCGGCTGTAAAATAAAACGTTCTTTGCGAGAGAGGGCGAAGAGAAATTACGCTTTCGTAGTTGGAAACGATATAAAATTATGTACCGTGCGCTCGTGAGGAACCGAGGACTCTATACAATGTTGAAATAACTAAGGATAAATTGTGAAGAGAGAATAAAATTTCAAGGGTATTCTCACTTGATATATTCTACAAATAAAACGCAAAATAATTTTTAAGTTAAAAAAAAATATGAAAAAAATTTGAAATTTGAATTTAAAATTAAGTTAAACGTCCCAGAGACCGGATATGTATCTGTATCCGGACACACTAAAATTTATTATTATTAAGTTTCGAAATGCTTTTCTATTCAATATTATAATTTAATTGTATTTAAGGATAACAATTAAATTATAATATTATATTTTAAAAAGCATTTAAGATTAATAATATCTAATATAAACAAATATATAAAATTTTGTATAAAAGGACATAGTAGGTACTTGTCCGGTCATTAGGACGTTTACCTTAGATGAAGCAAATAATAAACTCGCATTGCGAACATATTGCTGTCATTGGAACTTATTGAAGCACGTTGTTCATTCATGCTCGGTCACTCGTTATTTGCTTTGTCTATATGACTTCATACAATAATGTGATTGCAGGACAGCCAATGGTCCATAATCATTCAGAACTGTTCAACATAGTTCATTTATCACATTGCAACAACGTAACATAGAGAAATGCGATTGTGACAACAATTTTACGCGGAGGCCAGTATAATACAAAGCAAGCCTGGCACAAGTCAATACTCGCATTTTTCTGTTGCATTTGATCCAGCTATTCATTTATCATGAACAGAGTGCTACATATTTTTTAAAACAAAGAAAAAAACGATATGAAAAAAAAAAAATACGAAGAAAAAAACAAAATTTCTAGCCTTTAAAAAGTTTATTTTACTTTGTAATACGAAAGTTCGAAAGTTCAATATCTATCAACGAGAAATTTTATTTTACTCTTCGATCGACGTACAGAAACCAAGAGAGATGTATACTGTATACTGAAAGTACAAGCGGCGAAAATTGCAGGAAATTGTGCTCCGTGATATGCATTCTTATGCATTTCGCCTTAAAATATACTATAATTGCGGGAACAAGTCACGTGTTTCAAAAATAAATAATAATAAATAGAAAAGGAATCGATAAATGAATAACATAAAAAAAGAGAAAAACTCTATATTCGATTAAAATGGATCTTGATGTTTAATAATCTGTAAATTTTTGTCTATTTTAATTTAAAAAATAAATCCAACATTTCATAAGCGATTCTTGATCAATATTATTGCATAATATTTTGATATTGTACAATATTATTGATCTGGAAATATATTGAGTCTCCAGACTATTTGTTTTGAATTGGTTAAAGCAAACATCAATAATATTATAAAATAATAATACAATAATATTGAGCAGCTCTAAAGGCAACTTTATAAAAAAAACAAGAAAGAATAATTTTACAATGGAAAACATGCAATACAATATCGTAGTTTAATCAAAACAAGCAGAGTGGTGTCTCTCGGACGCCAGTGTGGATTTCCTGATTTAACGCTCGCAATTCCATCCCTTCGTAGTACTCTGTACAGCATCCCGTAAGCGATAATGCGAATACATCGTCTACAAACAGCGGCTTTAATCTGCATAGGATTGCTTACGAGAAAACGGGAGCGTTTCATTTCGACGAGAACGCCGTTCGTTACAGTGAAACAAACAGAAGCAACAACTTGGGCACACAAAAGAGAAGCGATGGGACGGTGATGGCAAGCGGATCAAAATCTGCAAGAGGGATGGGGTATCACGAGACCACGAGGGTGTGTTCGTACGTACTTTCTCGACCCGGAAGTGTCCGCAGCGTCGATCGATCCCGCGGATCCCGACTGAAGGGCGTGAGACTGAGGCAGGATCGCGCTCGACGACGACGTAGACGACGAGCGGGGATTCCCATTGAGGGTGTCGTCGACGAGAGCGGACTCCGCCACACCCTCGCAGCCGTACCTGAATCAGCATTGTTCATGCAACGCATTACAAGGGGAATGAATCGTAGTAGTGAGATAATGGCAATGTCTGTCGTGATTGCGCTGCTCGCTTATTAATCCTTAAACGACGCGATTCCCTTCGTGATTCATTCGAATCGCTTTCATATTATATCATTTCGCCATAAAGAGATTTGAGCGATTTAAGGGATTCGAGAGATTTAAGGTTTAATCTGAGCTGAGCTCTAACGCTCAATTATTAGATTGAGAAAAATATTCTAATTAAACCAACAAAAGGGCCAAGAATGGCATTTTGATAAATGTTGATTATTATAAGAATCTCTGTTTGGTTTCATCAAAACATCATTCTTACTGGTTTAACAAGAACATTTTTTTCAGCGTAAACTTTATTATATATTTCTACAGATATTTTTTCCGATCTTCCATTTTACATATATTTTTTCTAATTAAGTGCAATTAATGTTATTTTCACGATACATTGTTTTCTCAATTCTAAATAATTAATAACTTTCAATGTTCGGTATTTTATTATGTGGATATATATCTAAGCTTTTATATTTTGACTTGACACATTTATAAATTGTATGACACAATCTAAGTGCAATATCTATGAAATCGATTCGAAGTGCTGTTAAAATAAAATGTTACGTATTTTATGTCTGCTTAGTCTGGGATGCACTCTTACGCACGCATTTTCTCGCGAATGGGAATCGTGTGAGTGCAAGGAAGGCATTTTAATTAACGATCGGAGAACAGTACCAGGCACCGATGTGGTTAGTACAGGGTCGCTAACCATGTCGAAGTAATTAAGGGATTAGTCGAGCGGTTTGCTGACTAACGCCAGCTGCCTCTCTTGAGTATCGTTCGGGCATTAGAGGAAGTACCTAAGGGCCACGTTTCCTTTGAACGTACTCAAGGAATACGGATTCTCGACTTCGAGGCCTTTAATCGGCAGGATTATAACCAAGTACGTGAGTCTGTGAGCGAAAACTTTTCCTCGGTATCGACTTGACTTACTTCGCACGAAGGACTTCGATGTTAAAAGTTTAGGGTAAGCGGAAAGAAAAATGTTTGCGCAAGGAGAATGGTATCATTAACGGTATCATTTCCTTTAAATTTTTTAATTTTTTGATAGAATCATATAATTGTAATTTTATGTTATATTGATATTATATCGACTAGATGTCATAATTTTGTCGAAAAGGTATTATTTTATACGTAATCTCCTAAGAAATTAAATGGTAAGCAATTTCATTAATTTTTATAAAAATTTATGATTAATAAAATTACTGAAGTGTTTCTTGTTTTGAGAGTCTAAAATTTTACTCCGTGTCGCGCAGGTGCAGCTGCATGACACTTATTGCTTCTCCCCTTTCGTTTAACCCTTCTGCCACCCTCTCGTGCAGGGGTCGTTTCCGTATTATCGGCGATCAGTCTCAATTTCCTTTAACAAAGATTGCACGATCATTAACAAGAGTTTTTGGGTTTCTGCTATTATTGTATCACATTTAAATAGCTTACCTAAGAATCGAGTGAATGCATCGATACACATTCGGTATTCGCGACTTTGTTAATTATCCGATAATAATCGGAATAATTTCTTATACGTGCTGCTAATTGGTGAACCTACTTCTCGTCGCTTGTAACAGAAGAAAATTACCAACTGTGCGTGTGCAACGCGTGCTTGAAAAGAAATTTTCAAACTTTTTTCCGCATGTTGCAATGGCGAGAAAATCGAGCGTGATCGAAAAAGGCTTTTCAAAGACGAGAATAAATAATTTTTCGAAAAATAATTAATCGAAAAGGCATCTCTATAAAAAGAAAGAGTAAAACATAATTGAATTTACAAAAAAGACGATGTGAACAATAACAACGTACGGTACGCAAAGCCAAACGATAATTTTGCAAAAATATGTGGGTTAGGTATGAGGGGTGTCTTGGAAATTTGCCAAAAGTTTTGAGAGAATACCTTTGTATTTTATATTAAGATGCGTGAAAGAACAATGAACTAGAGATCCTCTAGAGAAATAAAAAATTGGACAGTTTAGACAACTTTTAATTAGTGCTAAAAAGAAATTGAATAATATGACGAATCAAACCATACATATTCACCATATTTTTTAGGACTTGCAAGATGAAATAAAACAGATGCATAATCTGTAACTCTCCTTCTATCTTAAGTAAATAAAAAATAAAATTTGGACCAAACATATGAACCAATCTCTTACTTGAGGATCTCTACGATCGACGAGATATCGAATGTGTCTGCCGGAATTCCATCGTCAATTAACACCCGGGGAATTATTTTGGCATTCATCTCCGGATACATTGGTTCCGCCCAATCGGAACGCAACGATCTATCGAATTACAAACATTATGAGCGGCGTGACGTGCTCGGTTATTAAACGCGTTATTAATTAATTCCGGTAATGTCGTATATCCTGATCAGGTTTAAATCGAACGAACCGATGAGCGTTTTATCGGAAATGAAATCGCGATATTGACGCATTGACGTAATTCGTTTTGGAGGAACGTTAACTCGGTTCTCGCGATAACGTTATAGTCGAGGATCGTTATTATTAATGCCGTTAATCCTAGGATTGACGGTATTGCGACTGTGTAGTATCTGGAATATTGGGTTATTGACACCGGGCGCATCGATCGATCAATGTATCCCGTACAGTGTTATGAGATCAATGATCGCCTGGATGGACGACGACGCGGTCAATTTGAGCGGCTGAAACACTGAGATTCGTCTCGAATGATCGTAAATCAAGATGGCAATATGATAACGAAACATCTTGTGAAATGGGGAGATGTCTATAAATATATAAAAAAAAGAAGAAACGTTGATGGGATTGAAACTTAACTCTCCACTGACGTTGGATTTCAAAGACACAATTTATTTTTTAAATTATTTTAAATTTAATTGTAAATTTATGAGAATTTAATATAAAAAAATAAATAAAATATATTTAAAACTTTTACGATAGTAACTCTTACAGTAAAAACTCGTTGAGATTTTTATATAGAAAGAACAGTTTTCGTTAGATAAAGATTTAAAAAGTAATTTTGTAATTTTGTACTATCGACATAATTATGTAGGACAAATTGATTGCTAGAATGCCCAAACTTTTTGCAGTATTGCTCATCATATTGGAATTTCCTACATAATTATTTTGATGAATTTTGACCTAACAAAATTGTTCTTTCCGTGTATGTAAGAATTTTTCAATTTTTATACAATCTGATACAATACAAAAATATATACTAAAGTTTGAAGACCTAGATTGCGGATGAAGGGTAAAGTTTGAAGAACCAGATTGCGCATGAAGGGTGATGAAAAACTTCACATTGTCAATGAAGGATTAACAAATTTCTTTTAATTATTTGTGTTATACAAACACACGCGTATACACATGCAAATTTTTAGAAATTAACAATATATCGCGTTACCTGGCAAGGAGTAAAGATAAACTGATCGCGATACAACTTAAATCAGCTGCCATGGGCGGTAATTGTAATCCAGCCGGCGTACACGCGCGCATCGCCGTAACTTTCAGTCAGATGTAATTAAACCCAATTAGGTCGTAAGGTGAGCAACTTCTGACGCACCTGGCTGGGCCGCAAATTACGCCGGTAAGTCCCCCTCTCCCCTTTTCCGCTCGTGTCTATCTTGCCGGCACTATGATTACAGTATTCGTAATTTTATGGTTTCTGCTCGAGAACGTGGATCATTATTTTCTGATTACATTACTATCGTCATAAATCGCGGCCTTTTCAGGGAAACGTGAATTAAATTGTCAAGGTAAGGCACGAGACACAGAAAGAAATCATTTCCGTAATTATAAAGCATAAAAAAGCACATTATGAAATTAAAAAAAATAATCACACAAAGTAACTTAAATACTGACGTCATAATAACGGCTCATCTTTCGAAGAAATTTATATCTTTGGATTCGTCCAAATCCTTCGATCCTTAACGTGCCCTGCATTTTGTCAGTGTATTCACACAGTAACGATCGGCTCTCCCCCATTAATGGAATCCGACAAACGTTTCACCACGGATAAGAGAAAAACAGAGAGTGAGAAAAGGAAAGACAAACACGTAGCGGTTGCAGAGTGTCGAGGAGGTCGGAATCGGCTCTCCTGGGTGTATGTAATTCGCTGTCGGTGTTTGTCGATCGGCAGAAACAACGGCCGATCGACCGTGACGTGGACATCAGCGAGGGGTGATTTGCGCGAAGGGAGTTAAAAAGGAAAGGGACAGAGAAGGGAAAAAAGTGAGAAAGCCCAGAGAGGAAAAAGTGGCGCACGGCCGAAACATCGTGTAGGTAGATGAACGTTCGTGCGGAGTGCGGTGCAAAGTGAAAGAGGAAGAGAGAGAGAGAGAGAGAGAGAGAGAGAGAGAGAGAGAGAGAGAGAGAGAGAGAGAGAGTGGGAAAGAGAGAAAGAGAGTCGAGCTGCTCCTCTCCTCGCTCGATCAATACACACTACCAGCAACCACCCAACCCACCCTTCACGTCTCTGCCCCATGGCACAACCCCTCGACCACTGTGCGGCGCTCATCCGCCAACGTCACCCCATTTCGAGCGCACAGCTACCATCGCACATATACACGCATACGTATATGCACGCAAGTACACGCGAATACACGTTATACATCGAAACAGATACAGATCGCTGTGGTATCGACGAAGCCGCCGTCATTTTCGCCGTCTTTTTGGCCTGATTGACAGAAATCAACTTTGTCGACGAGCAATTGGTAAACGTGTTCCGTGGAAATCATCCCCGAGAATTGCGAATGGACAGGCCGATGCTAGAATCTATTTGAATCCGCTTTATCTCCATAACGTGTTATGGAGTTATAGGCTTGGTCTCTTATTGATAGGTTGGCTACCTAGAACACATAGAATCGCTTAGGCTTTGTTGAAGTTAAGGGGGTATTCCCTACGGCTCTTTCACCCTTCGAGTGGCTGGCGATACCGAGGTTTAATTAAG